CGGCAACAGGAAGTCTGTAGTGAAACCATCTGCACTGGCTGACAGTCAATATAGATATAGATGTTTGAAATTAATCCCTATGACTCCCTATGACAAATTTAATAGAAATCTTTGGGATCATTAAATGTCCCTAAATACAACTGCTGATGAAGCAGAGAGTATTATGAGGAAGCATCATATCAGCTTGTCCTGTTCTCAGCTTCAGCATCCATTCCTGGCCAGTGCTGAAGACAGGATGCTGTCGTCTAGCGCAGCATCTCCCTTCTCATATCATTGTGTTAATACTGTATTAATTTTTCTTGTAGAACTCCTTCGAATAATAAAATCTTTAATACACCATGAGTGCAGAACATCATCTGAAACTGTGAACTAAAAGTAAATAAAAGGCAAAATATGTTTGTAAATCGTAAAGTGCACATATCCTGCTCTTTTGACAATTCATCTATGAAAATTTAAATTAACCAACCGTTAGCTTCTCCATAAGTAGTTTTTTATCACATCATGATGAAATTCAGGTTGGACTAAGACAGGTAAAAGTGAAAAGCAGAGAAGTGAGCCGTGTTACTGTCTTAGCTAGGTCACAAGATAAATTCCTCATTTCTTCAAGCCTCCAAATGGTGCAAAGTCCTTTAATAGACAAAGTAACTATGTATTGTAGACCAAAGACTTTATAATCTAATTATACAACTGAAATTTTTTGAACACTCAGTCGTAACAAACAAAACCAAGTGTTTGCAATTATCGTTCAGTCAAAGTCCTGAAAATGCCTGCATGCGTCCTGCTGTCATTGGCAAGTCTGGCACTCCCCCCTGCAGAGCTGTTTCTCTCATTAAACAGAATGGCCAAGGATAGCACAGATTTTGTGAATTTCGGCATGGTACCCTCACATGACTCCTATTTCTCCAAAGATAACCTCCGAGAGTTCCTTATTTAACATGAATAAAGCAAGCATAATACATTCAGTTTAATTTTCAGCTATATTAATCACTTGACCAAAAGGCACCTAACCCCTGCTCTGAGCAGTCTCCACTTACTACAGTTTTAGGAGGGGGTATCATTCTTATCGCGCTGTCGGTCACCTTGCCCCCACCCTGAACAGATACTGTCTATAACGCACCTGCAGCTGTGACATTTCTGTTCTCCACAGCTAGCAACAAAAGAATGGACATGAGATTTTCATAACAGCTGACATCTAGTTTCAAGGAATAAATGATTAAAAAGCAGTTTTCTTAGTACTTTACTCATTGTCCTTTACTAATTTCCCTAACAGAGAATTTAGTCTCAGTTTGGCCTAGTGCAGCAGTGCATTTTATTGATTTTTAACCCCTTCTTTTCTCAGACCAGTTCCAATGCTGTAGTTGAGAGGGGCCTGTGTGCCAGAATTTCTGGCCTGTCTGTTCAGTAAAGCAGCTGAAAAAAGGGGAGCTCAGTGAGGTAACTGAGTACATGCCTGTTAGCTGAGAGTACTCACAGCATGTTCTCCTTTCACCTGCCCCAAAGGCAAAGACAGCTAGAGCTAGGGAATGGGAATGGGAATGGGAAGGAGACATGAAAATGGTGATGGAGCTCATGTGCCTGCCACCTCCAGTTACTGCTTACTCACATGAAGAGAGGTACTGGCTGAATGTTTACAGCAGCCTCAGGGCTGGTAAGTGAGATCTAGCTCCTAACTTGGGCAGAACCACACAGAAGGAAAAGCAAAAAAGGAAAAGGCACTGAGCCCTGCTGCATTCAGCACAGCTGTCTGACAAGGGATTAGGAGGAGGTACAAAGCTTGGTGAAGACTGTTGAAAATAGAGAGGGATGTATTTGGCAGTAAATTGCTACTTAAATTTCTCTATAGTATTCCAGAACAAACATGCAGTGCAAAACAAGGGTATTTTTAACAGTCTGGGGCCATGTGGTGTTCTACCAACCAACAGCTCAGGAAAATGAACTGACTTCCCAGGCATACTGCTCATCCAGGACTTATGCATTCATTTTTTATCCCCAGAGCTGCCAAATCAAACTCATTAAAGACTGAAAGACACCAGCCAGTTCAGAATTAACTCTATTTGTTATAGTATCCCCCAAATACCTTGAAGTCCACAAATGGAAGACATTGTAAAAATAAAATGCATTATTATTACTAGTACTAGATAAGATTTGGGGAAAGCACTTTATTAAAAGAGTACCTCTTCAACAGATGTACATCTGTGTGAATATGCATGTGCAGTGCTTCCTGTGTACTTATTTGTGAAAGCAATAGAGGCAGTACTGAATCTATTTATAGAACGTATTTTGCACTAAAGAACTGGAACTATATATATATATATATATATATATATGTGTGTGTCAATACAAGTTTGGGGTTTTCTCAGGTTTTAGATCATTGGCTTGGATTTCTTAATTTGTTTTTCTGTGTCATAAATGACACATCAAAATCATGGAATAACAGAATAATTCAGATTAGATAGGACCTCAGGGAATCATCTAGTCCAGCGTCCTGCTCAAATCAGAGTGAACACTGGAATCACTGGGATCAGACCAGATTGCTCAGGCGTTTATTCAGTGGAGTCTTGAAAACCTCTGTGAATAGAGATTCCAAAACTTCTTTGGACAACTTGTTCTCTTTTCTTTATGTGCACTAAGATCCTCCCTCTTTCAATTTATGACCACTCTGTTTTGTTCTCTTGCACCTCAGGAAAGAGTCTGTTTCCATCTTCTTAATAAGCTCCTCTAAGGTTTTGTAAGGGAGCTACAAGATCCCCTTGATGCTGTTCCTCCAGGCGTAACAAGCCCAGTTCCCTCAGCTTGTCATCAGAGGGCAAGGCTCCAGGCACTTGTAAGCCCTGTGCTGAACTTGCTCCAGTTTATCAGCATCTTACACTGTGGGCCCCAAACTGAATGCAGTATACTACATGCAGTCTAACAACTACTGAGTAAGGGGCAGTAATCACTTAGACTGCCTATGCCAAACACCTTCTTCTTCATGTGATATGAATATATAAAATAATGCAGTAGGAAATAATATGTACTATCCAGTGCTTGGTCATCCGTATTTTATAACGAAATAAAATTACCTCTTTAGGCTTTGACACCTATTAGCTCGTTTTACAGTGTCTTGTAAAACAACCTGCAAGTTTACAGACTGTTTCCTGAGAAGTTCTGTTGCATTTATGTCATGATCCTAAGAGCATTTCACAGCTCTTGATTTGTCATGTGTACGTTCTGGCTGCATACTGATGTCCTGTCTTGATAAAAGCTGGAAAATCACTGTGGCCCGCATACTTTTTCATAGGATAGGGTAGGACAGGATAAATAGTTCAGTTGGAGGGGACCTACAGTGATCATCTAGTCCAACTGCCTGACCACTTAAGGGCTGACCAAAAGTTAAAGCTTGTCCTTAAGGGCACTGTCCAAATGTCTCTTAAACACTGACAGGCTTGGGGCATCGATCACCTCTCTAGGAAGCTTGTTCCAGTGTTTGACCTCCCTCTTAGTGAAGAAATGCTTCCTGGTGTCCAGTCTAAACCTCCCCTGGTGCAGCTTTGAGCCGTTCCCCTATGTCCTGTCATTGGGTACCAGGGAGCAGAGCTCAGAGCCTCCTTCTGGATTTCCCCTCCTCAGGAAGCTGCAGAAAGCAAGGAGGTCTCAGTGAGTTTGGATCATTAGCAAACCTGCTACTGACGTATTCAACTCCTGCATCCAGATTGGTAAAAATATTGACCAAAACTGGCTCTAGAATTGAGCCCTGAGGAACTCGGCTGCCCAGGCAATAGTTGGGCCACTTAAACAAAAGGATGCTGTGAGGGACAGTATCAAAAGCCTTACTAAAATCCAGGTAAACTACACCTACTGCTTTTCTTTCATCGACTAGGCAGGTGACCTTATTGTAGAAGGGTATCAAATTAGTCAAACTGGACTTTTCCCTCTGTGAACCCATGTTGACTGTGCCTGACGGTTGCCTTGTTCTTTAAATGCCTTTCTTCCCACTCTCTACCTTCTATATGCTCCGTTTTCATACCAGCAGAGACAGACCTGCAGCTGCCTTCAGCACATCCTTTGCACATGCAAGGCACTGCTTTAACACGTTTCAAGTGCACCCTGTACAACCTCTAGTCCTCCCAGAGTTAGAGCTGTTCACAGTGCATTTCCCCACTCTCTGCAAATGCACATATTCCCACTGCCAGACTTTTAACTTCATATTTTGCCAGATGAAAGCATTCTTTTTTAAATAGGCCTGAGTTAAAAAGCCATCTAGACAAGCCACTTCAAAACTGTTATGCCATACATACACTGTCAGTGGAAATGTGGAACAGCTGCAGGCTTCCAGTCTCTGGAAAAAAACACTCAAATTCACTGGTCATTTGTAAGCTGCTGGCTTGAGCTCTTAGCCAGTTCACACCACAAAAAACAGCCAGCCTGAGTTGAGAGTTAGGATTTCTGGCTGAATGAGTATGAGGCAGGGACACTGAACTCTGCAGTGAGGCAAAATGTCACTCAAGAAAACATATACTGGGATTTAATTCTGGAAACAATGAAGCCTATGAAGTTATGAAACATTTTCCCTTGAGGATCCCCTTTTGTTCAATATTATCTTTATTTTAGTAGAGCATAGAGACCAATAGACCTGAGGTATCTCACCACATGAAAACTACACATTTGGGAACAGGGGGCAGGTATCTATGTGGCATATGGATCTTTCAAGTATTTAGACTACATAGCCAAGTAATGTACCACAGAGGTCAGCCATACCCTGACCTTACCCTGTGATATTTGTCCAAAATCTTTTTTCTGTATGTCTCAACTGTTTCAGAGAGCCCAAAGACTGCATCACAGATAGGAATGAAAGGTGAAAGCACCATAACCTTATGATTTCCCTCCTTGCACAAAAAATAACAAAGCCTAGTTTGTTGAGAGCTACAATGTCATGCTGTAAATGTGAGCTGAAAACCAGTCTCATTTCTAATCTATTTCACGTATTTCTGATCCTTTTCCACACTTGAATTCTGTTACAGGGAGCTGGAGTACCTGGAAAGCTGGTGCTGGTTACAGGTACACATGGTGACAGGTAAATGATTACTTTTTCTCTATCCCCACATCTGAGCTGGGGATTTTCCACTACAGTGTCTTTTGCTTAGGGAAAGTTTTAAAATGGCAGCAGAGTCTCAAGCTGTCTGATTTTAGTGCTGATAGAATGGTACTTGATTTGCTTGACTAAAGAAGCTGCTGGCAAAAAAATGTTGCAATTGGCAATTTACTTGTCTCCATGCATATTTTGGATGCATATCAACTTTCTGAAGTTTCTTTCCAGACAAGTTCAGAATAATCAGCCCATCTGCCATGTAGACAAATGTAAACTTGATTAAAATATTTTATTTATACATGCATTTTATTTATACAATACAAAAATGTAGTTTGATATGTTACAAATATAATTTCTAATATTTTGAATTAAAACTATAATCTCCTTGTGGAATGGAAATATTTTTTTCCTTTCCCAAATAGGGCTGTATTCTCTCTTTTAAATCCGGGTTTAGGGTATACGGGATCAAAAATTTTTCTAACAAAAAATACTAAACACAGGGCATCTTATAGAAGCAAATATATGAGGCTTACTCCCCTTCTCACCCTCAAATATATAACTTTATGATCTATTGACATTATCAGAAGTACTAGCTCTAAACAAGATGTCCATGCCTTCATTAAATGCCACAGATCACAAAAATTAAAGATAAAACTAGTCTCCATTACTAGATTACTGCAGTTCAGTTGCCAAATATTTATGCTTTGATGGGCATTCCCATTTTTTCTCTAATAAAGAAAAATTTTTACTCTGTATGCAACAGGTTTATATTACATATAACTTTGCATAAGTTGTACTTGTTTTCTTGAAAAACAATCATAGAATGCATTTGATAAGTATGCAGCAGTCTTAAACCATACAAAAATATTTCTAGCCCAGCCAGAATTTTCATTTTACATATCAAATATATAAAATAAATAACATACTAAAGATACTATTCAGTGCAAATAAAGATATAAGATTTTAATTCTTACTGCTAGCAAACTGCTAGAAAAAAATTTACCCATCCTAAATATAATTTGTAAAATGTAAGTTAGAAAAAACATAATTTAAAGAAAACTTGGACAACACTAGAAAAGAATGGTGATTTAGTTCTAGTTCAACAAATCCTCCTTATTTGACAAACCTTTTAAATGCATATGTATCTATACACACAGCATAAGCTCACGATTAAATTTCATCTATTTGAATAAGACCTAAACATATGCTTAAGTTCTTTGCTGAAAATCTAGGATGATATTAAGTAATTGACATTATAATGTCAGCTTTCTGCATCAATTTAAACTTTAAAAGGTGGCTCGGGAACCTCTAATCTTCTGTTGACATTTGTGACTAAGTTGTAACAGGGTTTATTGCTAAAAGCAATACAGAGAATAATGGCACAAGGGGAAAAAAGTTAACATCTCTGACTGATTAAAAGGCTTCATAAAACAGCAAAACATGAGATCCTGAGTGACTGGGTAGAAAGCTGATTTCTCAAATCCACAGTGTTAGCTGAGAATTTTAAAACAAAGTTTATTTGGAGTACTACTTATTTTTTGCTACAGACAGACATTAATGGTTTGCAGGTTTTTTTGATCCAGCTACTTTTTCAAGTTTTCATACCTCACATATGCTGTATATTGATGGGAGAATTCCTCTAGAAATTAATGAAATCACATCCATTTATCCAGCTAGAAACTGAGTTTCTTGTAACCAGAGAAATTCACATATGTAGAAAGTTTAGAGATACATATGCATACTTGTTTTCTAAATGTCTTCTTTATGTGTAACTGTTAGGTGCATTTTTTTCTATTTTGTTTTTTCAGGAGTTTGATTTTATTTCAACACTTTTTAAAAGCTTTTTATTCCATTGCTTCAATTTATCTAAATTCTTTCATGAGAGGATCTGAAAGTAAAGGATAGAAAGAAAATAGAAGATTCAAGAACTATACCATCCCCTTAAACATGGAAGAATATGAAATAGGGAAAAATTTACATTATCACATTCACATGGAAAAGTCAAGAAAACATTTTCCAAAAATTTCCTTGCTAGAAATCTAATGCCACAGTTGTTTTTCAATTTTTTTTTTTTTTTGAGCTTCTACAGCCTGTTGTATTTAATGTTTAGAATTCAAAAGTAAAGTTGTATTTATTAACTTGGATATTTCCTGTCTGATACTTAATTAGATCCATTTTGAATGGATTTTAAAAAATCATATGAATATTCAGACTGCCACTATGAAGTATTCACTCTTGAATGCAGTTTTTGCACCAGAAGTACGTTGGTATGTAAGTCAGTCCAGTTTGGAAGGCCATCTCTTAAAATCACAAATAATAGCTTAAAACCTGCCTGAGAATATGAGGCCCTACTGGATTCCCATAATAATAAGGGCTTTCTTTCAGACCAGATGGTACTTCTGGGACAGTATCACTCCTGGTTCCATCCTTCTTTTATATAAAATGTAGTTAACCATATACATATAATGCTTTTATGGGGCTTCAACTATATAGCTTTAGGTATTATTTTTTTGAGAGATTCAGTTTAACTCTTTTCTGTGTTTAATGCACATCTTCAGCAACTTGCTTTAGTTTTTTTTGACTCTGAAGTACAATTATGTCTGACTTTTCCAGGTCAAAAAGTGCAAGTTACACCACAAAGGTACAGTTGTCAGAAGTACTACTATATATTAATAAGCTTTAACACAAATAAAAAAGCTTAACTGCCTAGGTTTTGATTGTTGGTGAAATTTTTTCATGGTAAAATTTCATAAAAGATCTCTAGATAAGCAGATAATCTTCAATCTTTCAATCCTGAAATAAGTTTCTCCACTTCCAGTACACCTATATTAGAAGTTTAAACTTCAGCCCATGACTAACACTGCCAGCTGTCAGAAATAAGTATGTTCAGGTTTCTTTTTTATACAGTTTGTCCTTTGCACAAATTTCAAAACACACTATTGACTCCAACAACAGTTTTGAAGTAATTTTCTTTGTCTACACAATTTAAAATAACAGCTCTATAGTTAGTCGTTTTGAGTATTTGACTAAAAGTCCCACTTAGATTGAAATAAGATTTTTAACAATTTGATCCCTGCCTAGGTGAAAGTCAGCTTCTTTCCTAACTTTGATGAAAAATGTCAGATTAACTGCTTGGATTGATTCCACCTGTACTTACTCATACAGGTGGAATACTGTACATGAGTGAGCAGAAAGATGACTTTTTGAATTTAAAAAACAGCTTAAATCAGCTAAAGTGGTATGGAAAACCAACCATCCTCTGATGTCAGGAGAAGAGAAAGGACTTGGATACTCTAGATGGAGTAAGGTGTTTTTTGGATAGACTGAAGGAATGGAAAGGAGAAAAAAATCCAGCATTTGGGCAGCCATCACAACGTAGATAATGAAAAAAAGAGAGGACGATGCCAGTGTAACCCAGAGCCCCTGACTACAGGAAGTCTGAGGTAACTGAGCATCAGAATAGAGAATTACAATGGGGGAAGCAAAAAGCTTCAAGATTATTCATGTTTTTTAGAACTCCTGAACCACAGATAGATACAGTGAGAGGGTACAACTGAGCACACAACCAAGGGGGGCAACAGATCTGATTGGGAGACGATGTGAGAAGCAAGAGGAATGTGATGAAGATCAGCTGCACACTTACTTATGGAGAAGGGAAGGGAGAAACTTTCTACAGTAATTATAAACACTGAAATCTCAGTATGACTTTGTAAAAAACCTTTTCTTTATTGCCTTTGTCCTTTAAAGCTCAGACAATATATAGCCAATATTCACAAGACAACCATCTCTGATATCTGTAAGGACAATTTTTAATGAATGTAAAGTAAGAAGCAACAAGAATAAAGAATGAAGCCAATTCTGCATCAGTTTTTAAGTAAATAATTCTTAATTTAGCACCTCCAGATGAAGTCATATTTTCTGAAAATTTGGCACACTGAATATTGTGCCAGTTTACAGATTTTTCACCTGAAAATGATGCAAATATTACAAGAGTTTTACAATGCTTGTATGTTTTAAGTTTATTCCTGATGACTTAAAACTTTTTAACAGCTTTTGGTTCACTATCTTTATTCAATTGCATGTAATTAGTAATTCTACTTGCATTTTGTTTTAATAAACCTGTTGAGAAGATATGCCTTTTAAATTCCTTTGCAAGAAGAAAGTTTTATTTTATTGAACATAGTATCTATTTATAAAAAACTTCTGCTTCTGCCACTTTTTCAGTGTTTTGTTCCATTAAAAGATGAATCTTTTGATATAAACATTCCAATATAAGGTTGACTTGACATTAAGAAGTAGCATGCTCTTGTATGAAAAACATCCTGGCTTTCCCATGCAATTTTCCTTCAGGAAGTTGAAGGTGCAGTGATTTAGAACTGGAATGCTGTTTTAATCACTAATTTATGGACATTTTACTAATTCACATGAAATCCTTCTGAGTAATGAACAATATATCTGCTACACTGCAAGGGACATTTTGCTACTATATTGCCACACTGGAGCTTTTCTAATCAGCCTTAACAATAATTTAATTACAAAACCCGAAAGAGATTGCTATCCCACTCCACACCCAAAGGATCCAGAGACTTCCACCCTGGGTAAAAAGGCATCACAACCACTTTGTGACTGCTACTTGCATGCCTTAAAAAGTTTCCTTCTACTGCTATAAGGGGAAGAAGAGAATATTCTGATTATTAATTGCTCCAACTGCACTGAGAGGAACATGTTATAAAAAGTCTGAGCAGTGAAAAGTTGTGCTGAAAGATGCAAAGATACTAATTTTTTAGTTTGAAAATATATATTATGCTCCCACTGAAGTCAGTGTCACTTTTGACTGTGACATCAACTGGAGCAGACGGGACAGGTATATTGTATTGCTCCAACACCTGTCATCATGAAGGTGATACTGATTATTCTGACATTCTGAAACATATTGCTTTTTAAGGCTCTGGCTTATAAACCTAAAGAAGCTTGACTCTGAATAATGTGGGTTTGTGTATGTATAAAGAAAAAGCTGTATGCAGTATATGCCTCCAGATTTTCATATTGTTTCATCCCCAGCAGATGTCAATTTGTATTTGGGAATGCTAGAAAGCATATGACAAAGAGCCTTATAGTGTTCCAAGAGATGACAAAAAGCTGAATTTTTTTTTTTTTTTCAGAGATTGCTGAATTCAGTGATCTTATCTCTTCCATGTTTACTGTAATAAATGAAACACTCTGGACTGAAATCTAGACACATACTCCGACTTAACCTCTTCACCAATTTAAAGCTGATGTACTGAGGATCTGGCACATACAGGAAGGAAGCTGGTAATCCCTTCTCTATTCTACTGCACAGCCAGATGAATTCACTCTTAGAAAAATTTAATGCTATGTATGTTTCCTACAGATGAAACCAAGAGCTGGTATGAAACTGAAGAATCTCCGCAATGATACTGTGAGGGTGACCAGGGAGCCCCAGTTTTCAAAGGAAATGCCAACACTATTTTTTAGAGCTCTCAAAATTTTTAAATTAATGCAATTCAATAGGATTCATCTGTTTTCCTCACCACTTGAATTTTGGCCTTATGTCTGTGAGAGGGAAAACTCAATTCTAAATTTTCTTTCAGACTAACCCAGACCAAGGTGTAAATAATTTTCATGCCCTAACTGGATTTTTAGTGAAAGCCATCAAGAATATTTGCTTTGAGTTTTCTATCAAAACTACGATGCTTTCAGCTGAGTTCCCTCTTACATTTTTGTTTGAATTCTCAGTATATGCAAACGTTATGCAAACTGCAGCCAGACCAAAGTCAGAACTCTTGCCAACAAAAACTGCTGAGTTTCACACAGCTTTAAATATTTTACAAGGTCTGAAGCTTTGTTTGCTCTCATTTGAAAGAACTGTTAGGATACTGCTCACAGTTTGCCTGACCTCAGCCTGTAATTTGGAAGGTTTACTCTCAGGCATACCTGTAACTTTCCACTTCACACTCAGTCTCAACTATTTAGGAAGACCCGAGAGGGCAAAAAATGGAAAGAGAGTCTTAGTCTATGTAAAAAATGGCATTACGTGTTTCCAAGTAACTGAGAAGGTAGGAGAAAATTGATGTCCTAAAGGATAAAGAAAGCAGTATGCTGTGTGGGGCTTGATATCTATCACACCAGTGAACACGATGTTCATCACTGTAAGAACTAGACTGTAGTGTGAAGGCTAGAAAGCTGTATTATCACAGGTGACTTCAACCTTTGAAACATATAAATACCATAATGAAGTATAAATGCAGGTAATGGGGTATACCATATTTATTTTTCCAACTTTTAAATTTCTAATTATCACTGATGATTCGGAGAAAATAGTGATAAGAGTAATTATTAGTAACAATCATTATCAGTAACAATTTTGTAAATCTAATATGGGCAGTGTGTACAAATAAAGAAGACCTGGCCATTTAAAGAAAAAATATCAGTAGCTAAGTGCAAGGAATGCTAATTTTATCAGATTTTAACAGGTGAATAGAAGAAAAGTGAAGCTACTAATACACATGCATGTATTTATACATCTATCAGCATTTTTCACAGGCTAATTTTGTAGTGCTAAAATTCAGTGAATCAGGTGCCTGGGAGAAAAATGTGAATGGCAGTAGAAAAGATTTTAAGGCTATCAAGATAAATCTGGAAAACAAAGACATTTTCAGATAAAAGTAACAGCAGCAAAGATCTGTATGCACTCTGTATCTATACATAAATATATATATATATATATGAATGGAAGAAGTAGGAAACTGTCAGCAGGCAAAATAAAATCTGGAAACTTCAGAAAACTGGTAAAGAAGCTTTAAGGAGAAAAGTAGGGTCCATAAGGGTGAGGATAATAACGAGATTTTTCATACATGAGGAGTAATGAATAGGTACCTAATATTGCATATAGACTTTGGCCACACAGATACGATAGAATGTTAGTAAAAGGCAGCAGTTATTATTTATTTCTGGCCTGTATCTGCAGAGTAAAAAAGCAGATTATTATATACTCCAGGAACATAATTATACGACTTCCATGTGAAAACTAAGCAAGGATATCATACAAATACTAAGGAAACAAAAAATTATATCAGCAGGTCAATGTAATTTGCATTTAAAAGTTTTACAGAGCTGGAGAGTTCAGAGTTACCTGAACGGTAACTGCTGATTTTCTGTAATTGTTGGAACACTGGAAAAGTTCCAGAAAACTGTAAAAATAAGTTCATGTAGCACATGTACTTAAAAGGTAAGCCGTCCAGGTAATTTCATACCTATCAGCTTGAGACTGATTGTAACAAAGTCAATCAGTGATACAACTTAATTAATATAGAATGGTGCATCAATAGAAACATTATGAAAATACAGCCTGAAAACCCAACTGGCCTTTTTTTGGCTAAGACTCCAAGATTGGAGTACTCTTCCTGATACTTCTCTATGACAGCTGACTGTGTACTGTACAGCATGTTCACGAACAGAAAACTAGGAGTATTGCAAACGTTAAGAACTGTTTAATTTTAACAATGTGATGTTTAATATGGATAATTTCTTTCCCTGTTAACTGTTTACTGCTATTATCAGTTACATGGAAGAAAAGGTTAAATTATCATTGCTAAAACCTATAGATGACATAGTCTGGAGGACTGGTAGGCAATGGTTGAGATGGGTCACTGGTACAGAATGAGGTCACTTACTAAAATGGATATACTCTAACAGCATGCAATTTAAGACAAACTACATTACTAAAATGGGCACCTTCTCATCTTATAACCTATAAATCAAACCGTCTAATGAAAATCATCCTTGTGCTTCAGAGTTGTTCCTGACATGAGGAAACAGTGAAATCTCTGCATGCTAGAAAAAAATATTAATTATAAAAAGTTATGAAGGACAAGAATCTTTAATGAGACAGCCAATGGACAGTTTGCAAATATGGGAAGACCACGGTCAAATAGAGGGACAGGAACATGGCTTTCACTGACAGCATTTTTAAAGGATCAGCTGAAGAAAAAGA